CCCCCCCCCCGTCCCCGGCAGTTTCTGGAACCTGTGAGCGGAACGACTCCATTGTAAGTAGCGGTTTCATGACTATCTGGAACTCAGCACGACCCCCAAGGAGATTCTACCGCTGCTCGTGTTGGTATCTAGATGGTTTGTTTCCACGAGGCTTGAAGAGATCCTGGCTTCTTTGCCGGCTTCTGAAACGATGACTCTGAACCACCAAGCTGCGTTGGTCAAGGTTCTGAATTGCACGTACGAGTGGGACTTGGAATTCTTCACACGCCGTGTGGGCCTTTGCTACAAGACGGCGGTTGTGGATATCTGGCTCAGCCGCATGAGGTCGAGGGTTGATGACAACGTAGTTGCTTCGTTAATTGACATACACACTCGCGCACCCGATGGTGTAGACTTAATTTCGCCTCACCTACTCGCGCAACTACCAAGCAACCATCCGTATTTTACTAGCCTATACCGATATGTCGAACAAGGTGTACTACGCACTTTGCACCGGATGAAATTGCAAGATCTAAGACACCGTGAACAATCCGTTCTATTCTCTGGCTCATTCATTCACAACAATGAGACGTACTCCGACAGAATTGTCCATTTAATGATGATTCCCCGTCTGCCGATAACGACTTCAGATTCCGGACTTCCAGTCGCACCGACCTCATCAGAAACAAGTACCACTCTGGTCATGAATCTCATTGACAGAATCAATTGTATACTGCACGATGCTACCCCTCGCCATGCCGCTGATCACGTTGTCAATGACCACACGATGACTGACCACGCTGGCAATAATGCTGCCCACTTTGGCACTCCAACGGCTAACAGTGTGAGTCGTTCTGGGGGAACTCCATCGCTGGAAGGCCGTTCACGGGCCGAGTCTGATGACATCTTCTGTCTTTTGCATCTGGTGTGTAACTTGACCAATTACATATGCTGGCTTCGCGTACACGATCTGGCTCGGCACGACGCAGCTCTCAAGCTGGTCGCGCAGAAGTTCCCCAACCCGTTTGACAGTTCTCGAGTAAGCAGTGCAGCGGAGGTGTATGAGATAGAGCTGCTCACTGTCGCCAAGGGACTGCTGCTATTACTGACATATGCTCCCACCCATATAGTCTACCCACTTGCGCCAAAGGATCAAGGGTGGTCCTTGGCCGAACAAGCATTTCGGTTGGCCGTAGGTTCTCATCCTGTGCTGGACAGGAGATGTGTGACCTTCAATTCAGATGACTCTGCGGTTCTCTACAAGAGCACGATGCTACTTGCACATGGTTCCCTCCGGGTCGGTCGGTTGCCTGAGTTTGGGTCCCATCAACTTGCGACGGAGCAATGTAAGTCGCGCCAACTTGCGACCCATCGAAAAGAGTTCTCTAAATCGGGGACGCACTCTCTGAGCCGCTCCCGGACCCCCTCGGACGCAGAGTCGCTTTTCACGGACGAGGCCTCGTCGTCTGACGAGGAGCTCGACCTCCGGCGCGTCGTCTCACTGGCGGTGCACGCCCTCACCAATCAGCTGGAGCTGAAGGCCCGACAACGAGATCGAGTAAGACCTGATGAAGTGCCCCTGTCCGTTTTACAGACCCTTGGTGATGCTGCATCCATTCCGTTTCATCTCGATGTCATGTTACAGAGTCAGATCACGCTACAACCCGGATTGCCATCAGGGTTACAACCAGGATCCCCACCGGGGCTACACCCTAAATCCGAGACAACAGGTGACTCCTTTTCCGCTGTTCAGCAGCCGCTTACTCAACCCGCTCCGCTGCACACGCGTGCTACCGTACCGGTAACCATACAAACGCAAGCTATTGCACACACGTGTGCCACGGTCGCATGGTCCAGTCCGGCAGCTGCGAGAGAAGTGCTGCCCGCCGCTACAGAAGCACACACATATACAAAGACAATATACTGCACAACAAATTCGAGGACCGACGGTTTAGTTAGAAATACGTTCAAGAGAGTGCGCGAGCAGGAATCGTTTGTGAATGACCTATTTGCTGTGGACGAGAATTGTGATATCGCTTCTGGAACGACGCAGCCAGTGGCTATTCTTGGTTCCGATAATGAGGAACTTACAGATCTCCATTCCGGCCTACCGAACGACGATCTAGAGGAACCCAGCTTATTTAACCGAGGCAGTGAGGGTGACGAAAACAAGCATGCGGCAGCAGCAATTCAAAGCAATGTAACACCTATACCACTTCCTCGACGGGGTTGGATAGACGCAGGAGAGCCCTTTCATGGGACATCATCTGCTGTCAAGGACCCCTCCGTCAAAAGCCACTCCGTTCCAAGAAAAGCAACCACCGCTGCGTCGACTATTGATAGAGTGGACGCTGGTGCAACAACCACCACCGCGACGACCAGCGATACAGATGCACAAGTTTTGACAGCGGTTGGAGACGCTTCTTCCGCAAGCAGCACTTTCCCTGTCATCTCACACGTCCAGCTCAAAGCTGGCAAGAAACAAAGATCGAGCCGTTCAGTAGAACGGAGGGGGCTGGATGTGTGGGTGGAGAAGCGTCTCATTAAACCTTCCGTGCCGTCCGAACACCATGGGTGGTGTTCGAAGAAGCCGAGGACCGAGTAACGGGGCCGAATAGCCGGGACTAAATGACCGGGACTGAATGACCGGGAGTGAGTGACTCGACCGGAAGTGAGGGGTAAAAATAATAAATCTGAGCGGGGATGAGAATCCACGTGTGTTTCTACTGCTCGTCACCAGTGTATCCAGGTAAGCGTGGCACGAAATGATAAGGTACTTGTACCCTGCGATTTGACCCCTCCGAGTTGGTTCTGTTTGAGTTGGACTGCCGAGTTGGTCCCGCCCGAGTTGGACTGCCGAGTTGGTCCCGCCGAGTTGGACTGCCGAGTTGGTCCCGCCGAGTTGGACTGCCGAGTTGGTCCGCCGAGTTGGACTGCCGAG